CTTTTCCCTTTGTGATTTTGCTTTACATCCTTTCACTGGGATATATCATAGCCATGGGTATGACTCTATGCTGGTGAATCATCAAAACTGAGGGTGTGTGGGAGACCTCGATGCAGGAGGTGAGAAGAGAAAGAAGAGAGAAGGATCCATCAGAGAGGGCAGGTGTATCAAGGAAGTCGATTTCAAAAACGGGAGGACTGTCAATGTCTTTAACATGGAAAAATAAGGAAGATCCCCCCAGCTGCCCCCCAAAGATACTAAAATGGATATCATACCCTCTGATCCAGTGATTCCACTTCTACAGATTTATCCTGTAAAATACTAGCACATGCGCAGAAAGATGCATCTACAAGGATGTACAGCACAGCACTGGATACAATCATGAAAGGAAATAGCTCTTTAACAGGGGACTGGTTAAATAAGTTACAGTACATCCATACAGTGGACAAATTATGCAGCCATTAAAAATAAGTGAGTAAACTCTAAACATGCTGGTATCTGCAAAATGTGTTAAATGAAAAAAAGCAAGGTATAGCAGTTTATACGGTATGATACATGCATGTAAAGAAACAGGGTATACAAAAGGTGACACACACAACACATGCACACACAACACACATATTCTCAGGAAGGATATACAAAAATCTGGGAGGAAATGATTGCCTTTAGGGAGGACAACTGAGCACCAAGTAGAAGGAAAATTCATGTTTTAATGAAACCCTTAAATACTGCTTGAATTTTTAAAAATGATTTACACATATTTTTCTTTATATTTTTAAAATAATAATAAAAAAGGAAAAGCCACTGAGTTTGATGACATCAATGAATTAAAAATTTTAAAGACAGATTATCTTCAAACTGTTAGGGGCTTGACAGCGTGGAAGGACACTGAGAGAAACGGAAAACCACAAAACGGAAGCTGGTTTGGGAAGGACGATGAGAGTTTCATTTTGAACTCACAGTCTTCAAGGGCTGGCAGGGCATCTAAGAGGGCTGGAGATTCACCCTGGGTGAGAGGGCAGAACCGTACGCAGACTGTATGCAAACTGTATTCATATTCTGGTCAGTAAAGACATCAGAGAAATAAAGACAGACACTGAAGACAAGATTGATAAAGAAATTAAGATAGTAAAAAATCAGAGGGCAAGGAGGGATAAATTATGCGCTTGGGATTAATAGATACACACTATTATATATAAAATAGATAATCAACAAGGACCTACTGTAGAGCACAGGGAACTCTACTCAATATTCTGTAATAACCTATGTGGGAAAAGAATCTGAAAAAGAATAGATATATGTATAACTGATTCACTGTGCTGTATACCTAAAACTAAAAGAACATTGTAAATCAACCATACTCCAATATAAAATTAGAATAAAAAAAAAGAATTAGGATTCAGAAAAAAAAAAATCAGAGGGCAGAGCCATGGTGAGGAAATTAAGGCAGCAGAAATCGACTCTCTCAAGATGGAGGTCAGGGACTTCCCTGGTGGTCCAGTGGTAAAGAATCTGGCTCCTGAGGCAGGGCGTGCGGGTTCGATCCCTGGTGGGGGAGCTAAGATCCCACGTGCCGTGGGGCAACTAAGCCCGAGTGCCACAAACTACAAGGCCCACACGCTCTGGAGCCTGCGCCCCACAACTAGAGAGAGAAAACCCACACAACTCTAGTCACAGCTACAGAGAAGCCCGCGCACCACAACGAAAGATCCCGCGTGCTGCAACTAAGACCCAATACAGCCAAAAATAAAAATAAAAAATAAATAAAATATTAAAAAAACAAAAAAGGTAAGTCAGCAAAAGAAGAACAAGGGAACAAAGACGGGGAAGGACCTTCAGAGGTTAAAAAGAAAAGATTTTATTGTTTTGTTTTGTAAGGTTAAACTGCAAGGTAGAAACGGAGGTACTTAGAATACTAAGGAAAAAAGGATCAGTGTGGAAGTAAGGTTCTGAAGGAAATTGGAACCAATGAGCTTTTCAGGGCCAGGTGGGATTAATGTTAATAAGTGGTTTGTTAATTAGGAGTGGCAGCCCATCAGTTTAATTTCTAAATAACTTCTCAACTAACAATCACGTTTTAACTCTATAAACAGCAATAATAAAATATTTAAGCAGATATTCAGTTGCCAAACGAGATTTCACTGAGGGCATTTCTGGTATGAAGATACCGTCTTCCAAATTATTCACTCAATTTGAGAGGAAAGAAAACTGAGCCGGGCTCCTCTGGTGGTGCAGTGGTTAAGAATCCGCCTGCCAATGCAGGGGACGTAGGTTCGAGCCCTGGTCCAGGAAGATCCCACATGCCGCGGAGCAACTAAGCCTGTGCACCACAACTACTGAGCCTGTGCTCTAGAGCCCATGAGCCACAACTACTGAGCCCGCGTGTCACAACTACTGAAGCCCATGCACCTAGAGCCCGTGCTCCGCAACAAGAGAAGCCACCACAATGAGAAGCCCGTGCTCTGCAACGAAGAGTAGCCCTCGCTTGCCACAACTGGAGAAAGCCCACGTGCAGCAACAAAGACCCAACGCAGCCAAAAATAAAATAAAATTAATTTTTTTAAAAAAAGGAAAAGAAAAGTGAGCCGGACTTTTTTAAGTCTTGGAATTCTATCAACTGAACTAGTCAATGAAATATACTAAGTAGGAAAAAATTACACAGGCCAGTTATACAATTTATCTTTTCCAAGAGTTAATATGGACAGAGGGCTTCCCTGGTGGCGCAGTGGTTGAGAGTCCGCCTGCCGATGCAGGGGACACGGGTTTGTGCCCCGGTCCGGGATGATCCCACATGCCGCGGAGCGACTGGGCCCGTGAGCCATGGCCGCTGAGCCTGCGCGTCTGGAGCCTGTGCTCCGCAACGGGAGAGGCCACAACAGTGAGAGGCCTGCGTACCACAAAAAATATATATATATATCTATATGGACAGAATTTGTCTACCACAATTTTTAAAATATATTTTAAGTCATTTTTATTGAATTAATTTTAATAACACTGTTTTACCTGGTTGGCAGCTGCCCCAAACCAAACTAAAACAAAGTCATTGTGAATGCTATTCAACATCCTCAAAGTAATCCAGCTTGTTTTTGGAATATATTGTTACAATAGTTACACTTTTTTAAAAAAACAGTTACACTTTCGACATCACATAAGTAAATAGAGCATACTATATTATTCAAAAAGATTTTATGCATTTCATTTAAAAAATCATTTTGCAAGAGGCTTCAGCTTTATCATTGACACATTCTGTACTTCATGCTCTCAAAATAAAAAAGTGCCCTAAAGCTAAGTTTTTTACTGATATTAATGAATAGTATTCAGGGTTATACGAACTAAAATTTAACATTTTACGGTATAAGAGGCAATAAATGTGGACCAAAACTTTGGAAACATTAAGAAATAAAAACAGAAAGATGGCAGTTCCCTGTCTTCACAAGGCTTAATAAAGAGTATAGCAGAAACTCAATAAACACTTCCCTGTTGTTGAACTGATCACTAACAAAGTAACCAGAATGCAACAAAATATTTACTTTGGAAAGTTATCATGACCTATCCTCAGAACAGCACAAGGCCACCGGGAGCCCTGAATGTAGCTGCTGCTCGAAAGCAGCACTACTTCTGCAGGCCCCTGTCCTCAGGAAATGAAACGTCAGCTGATTTTTGTTTCAACTCTGTAGTCGAGGGTGCTAACCCCAGAAATTACAGGAATCATCATTACACTCTAATACCAAGACATGCAGGAATTTTAAGCTATAAAATTATTTTCTAAATAGCATTCAAATAGGACATCTCTGTGATGAAGGGCAGAGCCGAAGGGCATTAACCCGACCATCCAAGCCTCCTGGCTTGCACCAACATTACTTCACTCCCCCTTGGCAGGCAGCGTTTTGTTTTGTTTTTTAAATCTTCGCAGAAAGTCAGTCTACAACTTTGAGGTGTTTTTAACTCTTAAGATGCGCAAAATTATTTTAAATGTCTAGCTGACTTCAAATTCAGCAAGTCTTCTTTTTTAAACATACTACGATTGAAGGCTATTTCTTCTAAGCCTCATTCCTGCACAATGACAGTAAACCTTAGGGGGAAAAAAAAAGAGCTACAGCTACAAAGTAAATAACAAAAAATTGAATCCACTTACACTAATAAGACTGGTTTAAAGTCTTACTTGAAGCCTTACCAAGAATCTCCTATAAAGGGTTTACAAGAAAAAACAAAAAACGGCAGCAACTTTATCTCAGACCTAAATTCAGGATTCAGCTTCAGACACATGGAAACTAGACATTTCTAAAGATTCTCACACCACATGAAACTGAACAAGTTCATTACTTCCCAGGACGTACAATGAAATTTCCAGCAACTACATTCAGGGGTTCCTGGACCAGCCTGAGGCTGGGACGTGACCATTAGTTTTTCTCATTCTCCGTCTCACCACTGGCTTTTGACATTCCCCTGCTCAACTACCAAGCAGGATTTGAAAGGCAGAGGGAAAAGCTGAGAAATTAACTTCTCGTAAACAGGCCTAATTTAAAAAGAAAATTAAAATGTGTAGACAAAGAAATCCACTTTCCCCTGAAAATTATGTCTTAGGATGGTCTGAGCCTTCCATCCACTGCCCTCCCACGTTCTCCGTTCATAACACGTCTCATCGTCTTATACAGTTGACCCTTGAACAACACAGGTTTGAACTGTGCAGGTTTGAATCCACTTATACTCAGATTTTTTTCAATAAACACACACCACCTGATAGGCGGTTGGCTGAATCCTCAGATGCAGAACCTTGGGTACCGAGGAGGGCTGACTAGGGAACTTAAACATCTGTGGAGCTCCAAGGGCTGGATCTGGTTTTCAGTCAGGGCCCACTGCAGTCCCACCACATAGCAGGTGCTTTATGTTTACTGAATTTTACTTCTGCCCCTACCCCCAAGCAGTGGATAATTACTATCCAGTTGGACTTGCTCTCAACCCTGGCATAGGCAAAAAGTGATTTTATAGAAATTACTTACCGGGTTACAGACGACATTCTGTAGACTGTTTAAGGACAACATCATTCTTTTCCACCTTACTGTTGACTGGGGTCTCTCTTTTGGGTATGGTCTAAGATTTTAAACAAGTTTCATTTAAAGAATTCCCAGATTGAAACTGAGGCACCTGACCTGTGTAAAATCAAAATAGAGGGAAAGGAAAATAAGCACCATTTTTCTTCATAACTATTTTTAAGTACATACATTATTTTACTGATATTTACCAAATAACAGGATGCTATAACAAAGATCTGACTCCAGTTCTTATCTAATGTACTTTACTAAATAATTTTGGATTATGAGTACAGGAAATATTGATTTTAAAACTACATCAGTAGAAAACTTCTAATTTGGAAAATTTATTAAAAATACTTATTACTGGGAGTTCCCTGGTGGCCTAGTGGTTTCACTGCTGCGGTCTGTTCAATCCCTGGTCGGGGTACAGGGATCCCGCAAGCCAGGCGGCACAGCCAAAAAAAAACAAAAACAAAAACTTGCTATTAAAATACTATATCAAATAATAGCAAATACTCCTGTACAGCTATCTGAGATATTCATTTAACTTTTCTCATCTGTATAATGAGAATAACAGTATTCACCTCACAGATTTGTTCTGCGGATTAAATGAATTAATAAAGCAATGGAATAGTACGTGCTTTATAAGTTTTATCTATTGTTATTAGTAGAAGGGATTGCTCTTCCTCCTCCAAATTAAACAAGTCAAAAGGAAAAAATAATCCAATGCCTCAAATATTAATTTCCATGTGGCTATAAAAAAGATAAAAGCTTTAAAGGTAAAAGTACCCATCAGTACTACATATAACAGCTCCAGGGAAGACTTGAAGACTAAGCAGAACCAAAAGAGAAATGAAACTCAAGCTTCCTACATTTTACTTCCTCCGATTCTGTCATTATACCAAAGGGCAATACACACTGATCACATGTATTACTTTTTCTCTATTAAGAAAAAACTGCATCTCCAACCCCGGATGTAACATAAACTGAGTGGTTAAGTTACAGCAAGAGGTGTTAGCTGAGCAGATGCAAGTTGTGAAAGAATTCACAGAAGTATTAACAAGGGAAGAAAAGAAAGTTTTTATTCACTTTCCAAGGCAGGAAAGGGGCCAGACACATAGAGTGGCATCGGCCCTGAAGGGTGGCGGTCTGAGTCTTTTAACGGGTTTCAAAGGGCAAAGTGCAGGAAAGAGCGGGTGGGTTCACATCTATTTTGGCCCACAGTTGTATTCTGGCTTGCTGTGTTTCTATAGGATGTGGTTTTTCTGAGAATCTGTAACTTTTTGTTTTCAGTAATTTTTCAGTCCTTGGGTGTCTCAAAGAGACATGATAGTGGCCTTTGACAGGCATTACTCTATTTTGAACAATGTCAGATGGGCTCACAAGAGGGATTTTGCAGGTGTAATTAACATCAGCTGATGTCAAGATAGGGCGATTGTCCTGGATTAACTGGTGGGCCCAATGTAATTACATGAGCCCTTAATAAACAAAGAAGCCTGAGAGATGCGGTAGCAGAAGAAATCAGAGATTTGAAGCCTGAGAAGGATTCAACACATTCTTGGTGGCATTTCGATGGAGTGCGGGTGGGCACACACGGAAACTGCAAGAAGGAAACAAACCTGGAAAACAAACTAAAGTATCCCGGAAGTTGATTCTTCCCCAGAGAATAGAGCCCAAACAGGATAACACCTGAACTTCAGCTTGTGACACCCTAATCAGAGTACTCAGCCTGGTCCGCCTAATTTTATTTTTGGTCCCCCTAATTTTTGATCTAAGATCTATTAAGAAAATAAGTGGGTGTAATCAAAACATCAAGTTTTATGCGCTAAATGTATACAATTTCTATTTGTCACATATACCCCAATAAAGCTGGGAAAACAAACACCCTGCAACCCTCTTGGTTTATAAATGTAACCCCATCTATTAACTTACACATTAGTCAAAACCTCAAAACTGTTTTGCTCCATCAAACTTGGGAAACATCAACAAGAGCAAAAACAAAGGATACAGAGATGCCACAGCCACATTCATAATTTACATCGTTAGTAGAGAGTGACCCAATTTAAGCCACGGGCCCGAGTGAAACCAATCATTCCCAGAAACATCCACAGGCACGGGTCCTGGTGTTATTAACTCTTCGTTCGCTTCCCAAGAAGCCATCACGATGCTGTTGCAATTCAGAGGACAAACGTTTCCTAACGTTTCACACTGCAGTAAATGACTCTGCATCTCAAAATAGGATGTTCAGAGCCCGGGAGGGCCACGGAGGTCTGTCATTAAATTTAAAGAACCCGTCATTAAATTTAAAGAACCCGTCATTTAAAACACCAAGAAGGAAACGTCCCCGGATTCCACTGCGCGAAGGCGGCGCTCGCTCCCGGGCGAGGAGGTCGCACGTGCGAAGACAGCACCGGACGAGGCGGTGGTCGACAGCGGGGCTTCCTCCGGGGACAGCGCCGGTTTGCCCGAGGGCTGCGACTCCCGACCATCCCTCGTCCCCGGGGCGCAGCGCATGGGGCACTGCCAGCCGCCCAGCCCGACCCTCCGCGGTGAAGACCCGCGCGACAGGGCTACCGGAGCCGGTCCCGCCCGTCTGACTCTGACACGGGGCCAGAAACACCGCATCCCCTCCTCGGCCGACGAGCCCACCGCCGCGACCGCCCTCCGACTCACCCCGGGACTGGCGTCGCGCTCGGCGTAGGAGGCTGTTTTCCGGCGGCGGCGCGTTGTCCGGGTTCCCGGCCGGGCGTGCGCGGGCGAGAACGGGAAGCGAGAGGAGTCAGTCCGCCGCCATTTTCTGGTTTGCGCGCCCCTGGCGTCGCCGTCGGCCTTGCGTCTGCGTGCGGGGCGCGCTGGCGGCTCCGTTGGGCTAGTGGCTGGTCCGCTGCTGGCCGCTCCCCCGGCGGGGCGCCCTGCACGGCCTCGGAGACTCGGACCGCCAGTGGCTTGCTGCGAGACGAGCAGAGAGGGAGGGGGCAGAGTGTGTGCTTCCAAAATTCCCGGGTGGATCTGGCCGCCTTTGCCCCGCCGCCGGGGTTGGGGGGCCGGGAAATGGGGAAGAGAGAAGGAGAGACCTTCTGCTCCCTCGGTCCGCGTGTCCCCGGCCTCCAGGGCCGGTGTGGACTTCGCACAGGCCCCGCCTTGACCCGGTGATGGCCGAGAGGGGCCCACGCGGCCAGAGGGGCCGTCTGTGACTTTCCCTGGTCGCCCGGCTCAGCGGGGTCAGTGCCAGGTATTTCTCAAGGTCTGCTTCCTTGTCTGCCATGGGTTAGAGTCCAAACAGTACATACAGTGCAATAAAAGAGAAGCTGACTTGGAGGCATCCCGGTGTTTTGTTTGCCACACCTTTGGGTGTAAATAAAATGCGGGGGGAAATGGGTTCAGTATAGCTGGACTGAGTCCAGCCCGGAGCCCCCATCCAGTGAGTCTAACTTGGACTTCAGCCACTGCGGCTTATCTGCCAATTTTGTGTGTTGTTGTTTTCTAAGTTATATACTACCCCGGGGGAAACGTCAGCAGTATAGAGCACAATTCTGAGCACGGTAGATGTTCAGAAATAACCAACTTTTCAGGGAAGTGCCCATAATGACTGCCAGTTTGACCTGTTGGCTGTAAAAAACGTCAGCGAGAAATACAAATAAAGTTATGTAAGCTACTTTGAACAGCTGGTACAGTTTGTTTTCTGTTAGGGATCACAAAGTTCTTATCTTCCTACTTGTCTCTACTTGATTTTTATCCACGTTTCCTTTGAGAGACATGTTTTGGTGTCCCTACTCTGGGCTTTCTCCTCTGTAGCTCTGGGTTTTATTATTTTTTATTTAAATTGAGAAATTCATTACACACCCAATACCATCGAACTCACATTCTGATTCCCTATTACTTTGCTCTCCTATTCATTTTCCAAGTTTGCTTCACTCTTTAGGATCCAACTTCAATAGCTGTATTTAACCCTTAACATACACTGCCTGGGATTTGTACTTATCTTTCTGTGTTGTGTTTTATCTATCCAACTCGAATTTAAATTGAGAAGAGGATGTCTTGAATATTCCCCAATGCCTAGTATAATGCTTTGCATGAAGTAAACATTCTGTAAATACTAGGTTGAAATGATAGGTTATTGATAAAGTGAGGAGCAATTGAATGTCTTCACAACTTTGCCTGGGTTGATTACCTCCCCCATACAAAGTAAGCTGAAATAAACACACATCAATGCTCCACTTCTTTGGTAAGTAGAATTTAGGTATAAATGGGACTGTGCAAAAGGGCCAGAAATCCTGTATTGGTGCAGTAATTCTGGATTAAAAGATCCACAAATCCAGAGAATTTATCTTAGAAAAACCCCTTCGTTGGTCCGGTTTTGTTCAATGAGCTCCGTGTGTTTTTTATATCTTTTAGAATCAACAAGTATGTACTCGATGTCCGCCATGACAAGGCACAGTGATAAGTATACAAAGGGCTTTGTAACATTTGCCGTACCGAGCCGGGCCCTCTAGACGCAGAGAAGCGATATAAATATACGGAAGTCCCACTCCTCTTCCTTGGATTATTACAATAGCCTCTTCATTGATTTTCCTGCTTTTTTTTTTTTTTTTTTGAGGTACGCGGGCCTCTCATTGCTGTGGCCCCTCCCATCGCGGAGCACAGGCTCCAGACGCGCAGGCCCAGCGGCCACGGCTCACGGGCCCAGCCGCCCAGCGGCATGTGGGATCTTCCCGGACCAGGGCACGAACCCGTGTCCCCTGCATCGGCAGGCAGACTCCCAACCACTGCACCACCAGGGAAGCCCAGAGCTCCCTGCTTTTACCCTTCCCTCTGCAGTCTGTTCTCAACACAACCGTCAGAGAGATCATGGGGAAACACAGCCTAAACAATGTTACTTTGCTCAAACCTTCCACTAGCTTTTGCTCGTTCTTTGAGTAAAGATCCAGGTCCTCACACTTCATGACCCGCCTCCACCTCCACACGCTCTGACTTCATTTCCTACTACGTTCCTCCTCCCTTGTTCTGTACCAACCGTACTGGCCTTTGTGGTGTTCTTACCGCCTGCCTGTCACACTCCCAGCTCAGAACTTTTGCATGTGATGTTTCCTTTACCTCCTTAAAATTGAGTAATGACAGTGAGTAATGTCGATTCTTAGTGAGGCCCTTCCTGACCACCGTATTTAAAATTGCAACCTCCCAAAACACACACACACACACACACACACACACAATCCCTATCACTCTTTCTTGCTTTATTTCTCTCTAGCATTTACCACATTCTAATATGCTACATTATTTACCTTTTTATTTTATATTACTTCATCCACCAGACTACAAACTCCATGAGGACAGGAAGTTTTTGTGCTTGTTTTTTTGTTTCTTTGCGGTACGCGGGCCTCTCACTGTTGTGGCCTCTCCCGTTGCAGAGCACAGGCTCCATTCGCGCAGGCTCAGCGGCCATGGCTCACAGGCCCAGCCGCTCCGTGGCACGTGGGATCTTCCTGGACCGGGGCACGAACCCGCGTCCCCTGCATCAGCAGGCGGACTCTCAACCACTACGCCACCAGGGAAGCCCGGACAGGGAGTTTTGACTGTTCCTGTTTCAATGGTGCTTAATCCAGTGGGGGACACAGATGGTGATACATTCCGGAGAAGATTAAGATAGGATGATGGTGCTTCCCTGGTGGCGCAGTAGTTGAGAGTCCGCCTGCCGATGCAGGGGACACGGGTTCGTGCCCCGGTCCGGGAGGATCCCACATGCCGCGGAGCAGCTGGGCCTGTGAGCCATGGCCGCTGAGCCTGCGCGAACAGAGCCTGTGCTCCGCAACGGGAGAGGCCACAACAGTGAGAGGGGCCCGCGTACCGCCAAAAAAAAAAAAAAAAATAGGATGATGTATAATTGGGAGCACTTGGGTGTCTACATTAGTTGCATGCCTAGGAAAGCTTCTCCAAAGAGGTAAAGTTTAAGTTGCTAGTGAATGAAAGAAAGGAGGCAACTAACCAAAAGGAAAAGACAGCTTATGGCGTGGGAGAAATATTTGCAAACAATGCAACCGACAAGGGCTTAATTTCCAAAATATATAAACAGCTCAATATCAAAAAAACAAAAAACCCAACAACCCAATCAAAAAATGGGCAGAAGACCGAAATAGACATTTCTCTAAAGACGACATACAGATATGGCCAACATGCACATGAAAAGATGCTCAACATCTCTAAGAGAAATGCAACTCAAAACTACAATGAGGTATCACCTCACACCAGTCAGAATGGCCATCATCAAAAAGTCCACAAGTAACAAATGCTGGAGAGGGTGTGGAGAAAAGGGAACCCTCCTTCACTATTGATGGCAATGTGAATTGGTGCAGCCACTATAGAAAACAGTATGGAGGTTTCTTAAAAACTAAAAATAGAGTTACCATATGATCAAGCAATCCCACTCCTGGGCATGTATCCAGAAAAGACAAAAACTCTGATTTGAAAAGATACATGCACCCCAATGTTCATAGCAGCACTATTTACAATAGCCAAGACATGGAGACAACCTAACTGTCCACTGACAGATGAATGGATAAAGAAGATGTGGTTCATATATACAATGGATTACTCAGCCATAAAAAAGAATGAAATAATGCCATTTGCAGCAATATGGATGGACCTAGAGATTATCATACTATGTGAAGTAAGTCAGAGAAAGACAAATATATCACTTCTATGTGGAATCTAACAAAAATAATACAAATGAACTTACTTACAAAACAGAAACAGACTCACAGACATAGAAAAAAAATTTATGGTTACCAAAGGGGAAAAGGGGGGAGGGATAAATTAGGAGTTTCGGATTAACAGATACACAGTACTATGTATAAAATAGATCAACAACAAGGTCCTACTGTATAGCACAGGGAACTATATTCAACATCTTATAATAACCTATAATGGAAAAGAATCTGAAAAAGGATACGTATATGAATCACTTTGCTGTACACCTGAAACTAACACAACATTGTAAATCAACCATACTTCAATTAAAAAAAAGAAAAGAAAAGAAAAGAAAAGAAAGGAGGCAGCTACATGAAGAGCTTGGGGGAGAGCATTCTCAGCTGAAGGAACAGCTAATGCAAAGTCTCTAAGGCTCTTGAGAACACATTTAGTGTGTTCAGGCACAGAGAGGCCACCAGCATGGCTAAGCATAATAAAAGAGGGGGAAATTATATGACATGAAGTCATGGAATTGGATGAGGTCACCTGGGCGAGTAGATAGAGGAGTTGACCTAGGACAGAGCCCTAGGGAGATTAAAAAACAAAACAATAAAAGAGGCTGGGAAGAGGCGACCATGGAGACCTGCTGAAAATGTGTCTTAGCAACCGAAGAAAGGAAGTGTTTCAAGAGAGTAGAACAACCAGTTGTGGTGTTAAGAGGTCAAGGAACACAGAAGTAACCAATAGATTTAGCAACATGGAGGTCATTGGGGACTGACTCTGAAGTGGGTTGAGACGTGAGGTAAAGAAGTAGTGGGACTAATGACTAAAAATATATCAAGAAATGTCGCTGTGAAGAGGAGCAAAGAAGTGCAGAGGCTAGGAAAGCAGTGGGGTAAAGGGAATATTTTGATTGTCTTGTTTTGTTTTTGTTTGTTTTTTAA